ATTCTGCAAGCCTTTCCTTGCAGCTGTGGTTGCCAACCGCCAGGTGGGGGCTGGAGTTCCCCCATGATTGCCACTGATCTCCAGTCTCCAGAGGTCAAGAGGCCCTGGACAGAAGGGAGGCTCCGGAGGGGGGACTCTGTGGCATCACAGCCCTGCTCAGCTCCCTCCCCTCCCCAAACTCTGGCCTCCCCAGGCACTGCCCCCAAAACGCCGGGAATTCCTTGAGCTGGAGTTGGCAACCTAAACTGCAGCCCTAGTCTTACCAGTGTTACTTCCCAGTCTGAAATGGGAGCGAATGTTATGGGAGGAGGGGTCCCGTGGAGGAAGCCTACACGGGGGGGGGGGGGTAAGCAGGGAACGAGTAGAGAAAGAGCAAGCAATATGAAGGCACTTATTATCCTCACCGGGGGGGGGGGGGGAGGTAAGCAGGGAACGAGTAGAGAAAGAGCAAGCAATATGAAGGCACTTATTATCCCCCTCCCCAACGCCAAGCATGTCTCATGTCTCGGCCCCAAGCGTCACCAACAGAATGCCGTTTCCTTCCTCCAAGAGACAAAAGTGGGCATATCCCCACCCCACCCCCGCAGTGGGCTTCCCCATGAAATCGACTGAGTTTTAATCCAGGCCAGCCATTCTCCTCCTCCCTACCAAGGCCAGGATTATCTGCAGATATACTGGGTGCTTTCACACACACTAAATAACGCACTTTAAATCCACTTTTTTTGGGGGGGGGTTATATTTTGTGAGTGTGTGTGTGCCTGTGCCTGGAAGTCAAGGCGACCTCTGGCGACTCCTACTGGGGCACGGAGGACATTCAGAGAAGTGGCTTGATACAGCTAGCCTGTGCTTCCCGGCTCTGGTATTCTCTGGAGGTCTCCCGTCCAAATACTTGCCAGGGTCTGCCCTGCTTAGCTTCCGAGATTTGACAAGATCGGGCTTTCCTGGGCGATCCAGGTCGGGGCACTTTCAGTCCACTTTGCAACTGCATTGTACAGTGTGACACGGCAAAATCCACTTGCAAAGTTGCTGAAATAGATTGAAACGGCATTTTTTAGCGTGTGTGAAAGTGTGTCTCTACAGGCTAACATCAGGGAGACTGTGCATCAGAGGCGCACCCTTGATCTTTGGGAGTTCTAGTCATCCTCTCATCTGGTTTTTCATGACTTCAGCTGGCATCACCCAACTGGTTCCAGACATTCACAGCCGTGGGAGCTAGAGGCTCTCTCTTCAGAAGAAACAAGGAAGCTCTTGGGGTGCTGAGCTGAGAGTCGGTTTCTACCTCCAACACTTGGATGGTGTTTCACACAGTTCATTGGCTACATCAGAACCCAGGCCCTACACTGATGCTCTATGATAGCAGAGCCCTGAAGTCACAGGCAGCTGCCTTATTCACTGACCATCTAGCCTAGCACTACCTACTCTGGCCAGAAACGGTTGTCCTGGGTCTCAGGACCAAACTAGCCGTGATATTTACAAATGAGTTGGGTTGGGGCTCCCCAGACCAGACTTGCCTTCCCTCACAGCCATAAGGAACTAATTTTGAAAGCACCGCAGGAGCCCAAGTCAGATCAGGACCACAATGCAGAGAGAGAAGGGGCTTCTGCCTCCGCCAGCATCATTTTCCTGAGCCAAAGCAGCCCAGGAAAAGGGACTATTTACCCCATTTTGGAGCTGCACAGAACCTGGTCGCGACTCATTTGAAAACATCACATCTCTTTGGTCATCAGGCAGACATCTCTCCCAGCCTTCGCCTAGGAGACCGTACAAAAGGAGATGCTGGGGACTGAACCTGGGACCTTCTGCATGCCAAGCACAGTGTACCAGGCCTGTAGTTAAGGTAGGGCTTTGGGGGGCTCCACCCCCTTTCTTAAAGGCACAGCCCCACAAGAATTTCTCCCGTAAATGCTTTTTTAAAATAATTTAAAAACATTTTTTAAAGGTGTGTGCTCCTTTAAGCATAGTGGGGTGCTGTAGTTGACTAATCCCCACACTGAACCAGGGGGTTGGAGTAGGTGACCTCTAGGATCCCTTCTAGCTCTGTGTCAAGAAACTGGTCTCCTTTAAGAGAGTCTTTCTGCCTAAGTGTTAGCTTTCTAAACTATAGAAGTCATCAGCTCCACCTGCCAGCTTGTTATCAGAATTGTTGCTTAGGCTGGCAGAAGTGATTAACTTGCAGCAGCTGAGAACTGTCATCTAATGTGGCTGACAGCTTGCAATTTAGAGATCTATCCTGGTAACAGCTTTCTATTGGCTAAATGGTAAAGAACACTTATGTAGAACAGACAGCTAGGGAAGACTCAGAGAGAGAAGAGACTGCCTCAAGAAGTTCCCTTCAACTTCTACCTTGCTGCTATTGTCATACTCTGGGACTAAGATTTGCAGAAGCCTCAATGCTTTGATTTTAAAAGGCTTGGTTCCACAGTAGCCGAGTCACAATCCTCAGAATTCTGGCTTGTCTTTCTGCACTGAGAACTTCAGCCCGACCAGAAAAAAAATTGCCCCGCAAGCCACAACATCCTGGCTACAGGCCTGCAGTGTACTTTCCCATGGAGCTATGACCCCCCCCCTCCTGTGCTTAGATGTCCACTGCTTGCCTCAGGAATGGACAAACTCAACTACTTTAAGGCTGGAGAGAGGCAGTTTTTAAAAAAATAGTTGAAAGGGGTATAAGAACGGCATCACTTGCCACAGTGTGCAGACACACACACCCCAACCCTCTTTCGCATCCTTTCAAACAGGTTTAGTTTCTTTCAGATATGAAAACCTGCCTGATCTGGGCTGTTTCCACAGGGTGACGATTCTCCATGGTATAGTCATTGCTACTGCAGATGTCACAGCATTGCAGCAGCGCCCAATATCTTCAGAAATCCCTCCAGTGGTTGGGTGGCCAAGAGGGAATGATGTGTGTTGCATGGCACCAATCTGGGCAGGGGGGTTTGCAAAACGGGCGCCCGCCTACCCACCCACACGGTGCCCAGCCTTGCTTTGACTGCAGTCTTCCCCGAAGAGATCACAGCAAAACAGAGGAGGCTGAAAGGCACACGAGTGGAGAATGCTGCCAGGCAGATGCTCCAAGAAAAGACCGCTCTTGTTCAGGAGCCGGGGCGGTGAAAGACAGCCCTGTGGAGGCAGCCCTGTTTACCAAAGAGGGAGGAGTGCACACCGCCACAAACAGTGATCCCTCACGGAAGCCACCTTCAACTTCTGGGGGGGGGGGACAGCTGAGAGAGCTAGAAGCAAGCGACTGATCACTCTGGCCAAGAAAACGAGGAAGGAGGGAGCAACAGAGAGGAAGGAAGGAAGAAAAAGAGGCAGAGAGTAATAGAAATTAGCCAGAACAAGGATTTTTATTACAACGACAAGGAAACAGTGGAGAGAGGAACAAGCAGCGATTCAGAAAGGGTTTTTCCCTGAGATATTGTGCCGTGACCCTGGGTCGGAATGGCCACACGTTCCAGCCCGGAAAGAGCAGAGACAGAACGCTAGGAAGAGAGAGCGGCGTCTGCTTTGGGGTCAGCGTCCACAGGAGGAAAGTGAAGGCCTCATCAGGGATGCTTTCTTCCTTTATAGATACCTTTATTGCTATGAAAAAGCCGCGGGGGCGGCAGACCTGCGCCAAGGCGCACGCAGCCTGCACCTGTTTCCGTCACAGAGTCTGTCTCTGCGTCAGTGGAGGAAACGCTGCAAAATACGGATCCCTGAAAAGCCTCTTGTGACTGATGTGCAGATCCCGGAAATGTGAGGCCATGTTCACAGCTACAACAAAATTACTGCCCCCCCCCTCCAAGTTATAAATTGTCAGCATTAAAAACAATGGGAGGGGGGGGGAGTAGAGTCTGCAGATATTTATGATCTTTCCCACCCTTTACAAATAATAATAATATTTTTTAAAAAACACATCCTGAGCATTTTCACAGAAAAAGAAGAAGCTGGCTTCAGCCACTGCCTTTCTCGAGCTGATACCCAAAGCAGATCTGAAACGGGGAGAACACGCAAAGATTAAAAGTGGAAGGCACACAGCATGAAGGGGTGGGGGGGAATATAAAGGATTAAGAGAAAGGAAAGGACAGGCAGTGAGAGATGGAAAGGGAGATCCGCAAATGACTGCTCTAAACCATAGATGCTAACTGGCATAACAGTCATTTCCTCTTTCAAGAGATCTTCAGGAGCCACAGTCTGGGGGGAAGGGGAGAGGTCTCAGACAGAATTCTCAGCACCTCCGAACTACAGTACCCAAGATTCTCAGGGAGAAGGCTAGATCAATCAAACTGCAGCACAGACTTGCCCTCGGAAGCACCCAAATCCCTAACAGTTCGGCCTCCTATTTTGTGCTAAGAAAATAAAAATAGAACAGTCAGCCATTATACCCAGCATAACGTTGTTATATCCCGAACTGGACTTATTCTGGGGTGGCCTTGCTGATGTTTCAAAAAACCTCTGTGTGTCAGCCGGAAGCACCGTGGCCACCCAAGACTCATGCCCTCCCCCTCTGACAAATTCTCTCAAGAACCGTAATCTTGTGCAGGTATGGAGAGTTCCTTTTCCAGAAGCCTACCACTTGTTCAAGCTTTTTATTCTTCAGAAGCCCTAACAGATTAGGGCCACCTCCGCACTGTCATTGTTGTCACTCGCTTGTCCTTACTGCTTTGGGTCGCCCCCTGTTTTCCACATGTGTTTTGCTCCCTCTAGGACTACTAGAGAGAGCAAAACACATTGGGGGGGAACCCTGAAGCAAGAGGGACAAATGAGTGATAAAAATGATAGTGCAGAAGGTTTGAAAAAGATTTAGGTGTATACACAAATAGGAACAGAAGCCTCCCTCTCTCTTACAACACTAGGTGGCACGAGGGTTGCCAGTCCATGTCTGGCACCTTGGCAGGAGCTTGGGGGGTTAAGGACATGGGAGTGCCAGCATCCTGTATGCCCTGACATCACTTCCAGGGGAAATGGGAAAAGATGTCACATCACTCTAGGAACTGCCAGAAACTATGATAAAACCACAGAGTTTCTGGTGATTCCTAGAGTGGCAGGACTCACTTCCAGGTTTCCCCTGGAAGTGACCTCATGCCACATGTGACGCCAGTGTTTTTTCTCCTGATGCCACTCAGAGTGGCAGCAGGCAAAAAGGGTTGCCAGCAGAAGGTCTCCTGCCCCAGTGGGAGGCCTAGCAATCGTAGGCAACACAGAGAAGATAGGTCATCCCTACTTTCCCCTGCCTGCTGTCCTTTTATCCTGTGGGTTTCATGGACTGCAGGAGCTGCACCTGAGGAGCTGTGATCACACACTACAAAGTTGTCCTGGATTTGAATCTGGTTTGCCTACAACCTCTCTGCCCCCACAGCAACTAACAGAAGAAATCAGAATTCAGAGTAATGATGGAAGGTCATCATGTGGCTGGAAGAACCGTCCAGTGGTGTCATTCTGGCTGTCCCCCGTGTCTCCGTACGACCGAATGAGAAGGGTCTGCCTGCCTGTCTCGCTCTGACTCTCTCTCACGCGGAAGGCTCTCAGTGCAGGATCCTGCCACACGGATGATTGCTGGCTCACAATCTCCTCCCAGTCACTCAGCGCCATTGCTTGGTCCCTCAATATGGAGTGAAGCGGTTGCATCCTCCGCGGTACAAGCTGGCCTGCCAGGAAGAGAGAACATGGGCATAGTGAGCCTTGGATAGAGGTGGGGAGTAGGGAATCGAAAAGGAATTAGGAATGGTTATTTGAGGAGGAGACCTTTCATAGACAGCTCCGTACTACCACCTGCTGGCTGTCTCAAGCCGATGCAGCCAAGCGAGATTCAAAGTTCCAGAGGTCTTCTTCCCTGAAAAGCCTTTGGTTTTCATAACATCCAAGAGGATATTTATACACCTACTTTTTCAGCCCACATAAACTGGTGTGCCATGCCCCATATCAAAGCTTGTCCCTCAACCTAACATCTACGTCCATCACCCACTATCAATTTTCTGGAGTTTTGTTTTGACTGAATGGTCCATTACCAGATAGTCAATGTCGGGGCTTCTTCGGATGTTTTTTCAAGAACTATTATCTATGGCATCCTTCTTGAAATTAAAAAGAGAATCTACCCTCTGCAGTTGTTGAAGTTCTCCTGAGGAATCTAAGGACTGGAAAATAATCAAACTGTGCTAAATTTTCACCCACTTCAACTTTCAAGACGAAATGACTGCTTTTGTGGGGCAGGGGGCTATTTGCCCAAACAGAATTAAAATTGTGAGAATGTTCGAGGGGGTGTGTGTGTCAAATGCTGTTCACTCAAATTTTCCCTCCCAGCCAATCAAGGATTGCAAAAAGAACATAAGGACATCACGGTGTGCTCATGGATGGATTAATGTGATTTTAGCCTAACCTCAGGTTATCTGTCTGAAATGAGAAATAACATCCCAAATGACATTCTCAAAAGGAGGGCTTTCACTTTTATGGATAGAGGAGAGAAGCAGTAGACTCAACACACCAATCCTGCCTGTTTGGCCATCCCTTTATCACCCTGATGAAGTATTCCAGGCCTTCACCCCTCTACACCCAGGACTAATTAGGGTGAGGAGTGCAAAGCTCCTTAAACCTATACGTCAGAATTTGACTGGTCCAAAGTAAACTTGGAGGGAATTTTGAAGATGTCCTCCCAAATTTTGAGTGGCCTAGGAAGAAAGATCCCAAACCTGATTCAGCTCACTCGGCATTTGCACTTAAGTAAAACCTCACTGAGCGGGACGGCTCAGTTCTGTGTCGCTCACCAGTCACATGGACAATCCCAAACAATCAAAGGAATGACATCATAATGCTACATGACAATGTGCTGACGTCATGAAGACCAATGAAGACAGTTCAGGAAACCCTGACCTCTCCTTCAGTGAACTTTAGAAATTACCACTCCTCCACCCTACTTTTCAGCATCTTTCGCTATAATTCGTCTTGTGGTCTTCATCTGAACTCTGCTATAAGCTCTGGGAGAATTTCCCTTTGGTTGTCCCAGCCCGTGTTTGCAGCACTGGGGTCCAAATGGCATAGCCTGACCTGCGGGGATGCTGCGGAATAGATATTTCTGCTTTGCAACGAGGGACTGGGACAAGAGAGCACTTCCGTGCTCACCCAGTTCTGGTGACTCAATGATCAACCAGCAAGATGCCCTGCCCGCTAATACAATGGCTCACCATGGCACCGACTCCATAGGCAGGGGTCATTGCGTGATGATAGGGCTCAGCGGTAGTGTAGACTCGTCCATACCTGTAGGAGAAAGACCCGAGAGAGGCCATGGAGGAAATGGCTTAAGGCTATTGAAACAGACACCCTACAAATGGGGGTTGCCCAGTCCCTTCTTCTGGCTGGTGGGGGAATCTGGGAGGTGTTCCAGGAGTGGGCGGGGATGTCCCCAATGTGCTGCCATCACCTGGAAGTGATGTCATCACGCCGGTGACATCGGGGTGACACTCTGGTCTTTGGGCAAAAGTCTATGGTAAAATCGGGATCAAACCATAGAGTTTTGCCCAAAAACCAGAGCGTCACCATGAGACGTCCCTGATGAGATGACGTCACTTCCATGTGAGGTCAGTGTGTTGGAGGCATCCAAAACCGGGGGATTCCTTGCCCAGACCTGGGGAATGGCAACCATAGTACAGATTCTTCTGTTTCAGACGTGTGTGTGTGTAAAGTGTCATCAGGTCGCAGCTGACTTACGGCAACCCCACAGAGCTTTCAAGGCAAGCAACTAACAGAGATGGTTTGCCATTGCCTTCCTCTGCATAGTGGCCAGTGTTCCCTCTAAGCTGAGTTAGTATGAGCTAAAGGCAAAGGTTTCCCTTGCTTGAAAGCCAGTCGAGTCCGACTCTCCGGTTGCGGTGCTCATCTCTGTTTCAAAGCCGAAGAGCCAGCGCTGTCCGAAGATGTTTCCGTGGTCATGTGGCCGGCATGACTAAACACCAAGGCACACGGAACGCTGTTACCTTCCCACCGAAGTGGTCCCTATTTATCTACTTGCAATTTCTTGCTTTCGAACTGCTAGGTTGGCAGGAGCTGGAACTAGAGATGGGAGCTCACTCCGTCATGCGACACACCCGGGTCTCGAACTGCTGAACTACCGACCTTCCACAGCCTGCAGTTCAGCGTCTTAACCACTTGAGCCACCACAGCTCCATAGTATGAGCTAGCTCACAGATTTTTAGCCTCTGCTCACGCATTTTTGTCTTAGCTCAGGGAGGATGGCTCCAGAGCAAACTAATTTATGCTGTTGCCAAATGGCTCACTCGCAACGTTAATGCCAGGAGCTCACAAAGTAGAGTTTTTGCTCACAAGACTCCACAGCTTAGAGGGAGCATTGATCGTGGCCCTGGGTAACCACAGAGTCCCTCGGTGGCCTCCCATCCAAGTTTTAACCAGGGCTGACCTAGCATAGCTCCCAAGGTCGGATGAGATCAGGCTAGCCTGGGCCATCCACGTTTCAGACTTACCCGTCGCTGTAGGCTGCTGCCGTTGCTGCTGCAGCGGCGGGCGTCTGGGCCACTCGGTAAGCGGCAGGGTAACCCTGCAGTGCGGAAAACGGAAAATCAGTCTAAGGGTCCAGGATACATGAATATCCCAGGCGCCCCTGCTCCCAAATCCTCCACACAGACCTCCTTGTTACAGCTCTGTATCCCTTGCTGAATGACAGCCAAGGCAGACGCGGGATTGGATCCTGCCAGTTCATTCCCCCGCCAACCAGGAGGATGGAACGTCCCCCATCCTGACACACACACCAACCGCGCATGGACCTTCATTCCAAGGCCCAAACCCACTGGTTCCTCCTTAGTCCCCACCACCCTCGGGAGACTCCAGCCGTCCCACCTGAACCGACTTGAGATTCCTCCCAGACCACCCCATCGCCCCTCCCACGGGGCACGCGACCACCGACCCTGAGAGCAAACACACCCCTCGAGTGCTGCCCCAGAGATCTGTCTCGTGGCCCTTCCTTTGCCTCGAGAGACCCAGAAGGCCAGTGCACTTCCCGTCCCTCCACCTTCAGACAACCGGCACGGAACCCTTGAACCCTGAGCCCCAAGGACACCCTGACAAAGACTTACATAGAGGTCAGGACTGTAGAGACCATCTGGATACAGCACGCTAGACGGAAAGCTGGGGGAAAAGAAGTCAGTGTCGTCGGCCACCCCTTTCCTTTGTCTGTATCCTTCTCCCCCACACCCCACCTCAACTTCGCTATCCCCATTACCAAACTCCACTCAGCCCTCGCAACGATTATTTTCCTCTGAGCAGCTGCAGAATGCCTTTCCGTCGCCATTCAGGAACTGCAAAGAGCCACCACTCCTCTGGGATAAGGGGGACGGCTTTAAAAAAAATCAAGGCATAACTTGGAGGCAGGCTTGAGCCCTAGTCCATCTCTCTCTGCAGATGAATATAAGAGCCCTGCGTCCATGTGGACTAGCATCTTGTGTCCAGCAGAAGGCACCCAGATGATTCTAGGAAGCATGCCAGCCAGCAATAGCCTTACCTCAATACTTATCTCCCAGCAACTGGCATTCAGAGGTACACTGCTCCTGAACCTGGGGGTTCTATTTAGCTGCCATGGATAGTAGCTCTAACAGACTATTCTTTGCTGAAACCTTTTAAAGCCCCTCTAGTTCCAGAGAACTTCACGGTTTCCCCTTACAGAGCTTATCTTTGCTGTGGAGTGCTGAAGAGTGGCTGGTGAGTTGGAGTGGCTGAAACAGTCCTGGTGGCTGACTACTACCTTCTACTGGGCTCACAGGCTGTCCTACGCACACCGCCCAACACTCTGGGGGAAAACGACAACACCCTGTGACTTTCAGACACAATTTTAAAGTGAATAATCGTGACCTGCTTCTCAAAGGGGCCACCCCCTCCTTGTCCCTTTGATGCTCACCTGCCATAGGCTGGAACTGGTGAGGGGGTGGGTGCTGTTCGAATGGGATTGTAGATAGTGGCTCGGCCACGCCCTCGGAGAGCCCCACGATAGGCCAGGGCGGCTGGGGCCATCATGGGATAAGGGATACTAGCCACTGGTGAAGGGGGACACATGAGAGAGAGAGAGAGAGAAAGAGAGAGAGAGAGAACAAACATTCCATTAGACGGTAGAAATGGTGAAGACAAAGGAGACCTGTTCACCCCACCCTCTGGACAAAGTCCCCAATCACTCCTCCAGAGCCTTCAAAATGCAGCCCCCAGCAACTACGAATCCAAGTTAACATTAATCAGTTGGCTGGTGCCCCTGAGCACATGCCACTGTACTCTATAACAAATATACTGTCTAGCTACATAAAGCCTTGTCGTGGAGTGCAGTTTTCACAACCTAATTCTGTGTTGGTGGGAAAGGGATCTGATGCGACTGCCTATAGTTTGGTGTAGTAGTTAGGAACGTGGACTCTAATCCGGGAGAACCGGGTTTGATTCCCCACTCCTCCACATGCAGCTGCTGGTGTGACCTTGGGGCAGTTACAAGTCTTCTCAGACTTGTTCTCTCATGAGCAGTCCTCGAAAGAGCCCTCTCAGCCCTACCTACCTCACAGGATGTCTGTTGTGGGGAGGGGAAGGGAAAGGAGATTGTAAGTCGCTCTGAGACTCCTTTGGGTAGTGAAGGGCAGGACAGAAATCCAATCTCCTCCTCCTCTTCTTCTTCTACATGGGGGAGGGGCGACGGCAGATCTCAATCACTTGGCTGCAGTGATGGGGAATTCCGAGACGTCACTGGGTGGAAGTTCTCAGCCCAGAGTGGGTTCATTTTGGTGTGCTCTCGAAACATGGGAACGTGTACCTCTTCAAAAGCCCTGCCCCAAACCACGGCAGTAGACCCGTCTGAATGGGGACATACCTGGGACCTTTTATAAGCCCAGCATCATGGGCAATTCTGCCTCTGCCAGAAAGCCTCGAGATACCTTCAGCAGCAGAAGTATCATAGACAAAAGCCAGGCAGTGAGGCCAAACCATCTTTGGCCTCCTGCCGTATTCGAACTGTGCCAGTCCTTTGACTACTGAGTCAGAAAGACCCTTTAGGTGAAACGGAGCTGTTCCGCCAGGCTTTTGGCTAACTGGCAACTCATTCTGGCCCCTCCTGCCCAAACTGCCCTCATACTCGTTTGGTGGTGTAGAGGGCAATGGTTTCTATCAATAGTATATACAAAAATCAGAAAAAACTGTGAAAAGGTGACACTTAATAAATTCCTTTAAAGAATAAAAAAATATGAAAAGTGAACAATAATATACACAATAAAAGAAAATTATGACGGTAACCTCCGGAATGTCTTGCTGTTTCGAAGGTAGATCTTCTTCCGAACGAAGATGTGAACAAACCTGCCATGGGTTAAGATGATTGGCAGGTTCTACTAGACATTACAGCTGTTATGAATATTGAAAATCTTCTCTGGTATCTTTGAAACGTCACCAGAGGAAATGAATTACTGAGAGACAGTCTTTGTCTCACATCTTTGTTCGGAAGAAGATCTACCTTCGAAACGGCAAGACATTCCGGAGATCACCGTCAAAATTTTCTATTATTGTGTATATTATCATTGTTCACTTTTCATATTTTTTTATTCTTTAAAGAAATTTATTAAGCATCCCCTTTTCACAGTTTTTTCTGATTTTTGCATGGTCTGATGACTGTGCCGATTATTTGACATTCCATCAATAGTAACCAGGCTACTACTATGTTTCTGTCCGCCTGCCCTTCAATGCAAGGAGCACAATGGATTATTACTGGCTGCCATCTGTTTGTAATTTAGTTTCTTAATTGTTTATGGTTTTACGATGTGGTTTTACTGTTCATATTCCTGTTCTGACCTGCTCTGAGCCTCCTTGCGGGATAGAAATAAAATAAATAAATAAAATAAAATAAGTCTGGGAAGCCAGGAGCAGAGACACCCACCTCCTGCATTCATACCTCGACTAATGGACTGAATGGGCCACTGGCCTGATCCAACATGGCTTCTCTTATGTTCTTATGTCTGGGGCAGTGATGCTCTGTATCCTTGGTGCTTGGGGGGGGCGGCAAAAGTGGGAGGGCTTCTGGAGTTCTGGCCCTGCTGGTGGACCTCCTGATGGCACCTGGGTTTGGGCCACCGTGTGACACAGAGTGTTGGACTGGATGGGCCATTGGCCTGATCCAACATGGCTTCTCTTATGTTCTTAATCATACATGGACAGATGTCAGATACAGCCTCTTCTGAACAGGTTCAGGACACACCCAGAACACCTCTTGACAATTTATTGTCACCTTTTCAGCATGTCGAAAATCTTACTCTGCCTCAGCATGGGGCCAACCCTGGGCCGGGTCACTGACCCAAAATGGGACCTTGGAGCAGATTTTGAGGCACCACACCTTGAACGGGGGCAGGGCGAGCTGCACATGGAGCACAAAGGGGTAGAAAAGAGCAGAGGCCTAGCGGCGTGGATTTTCACGGAGGGGATGGAAAGCACAAGGATGGGCAACTCACCTGTATACAGGTCGGGGGCATAAACAGCACCCACAACAGGATTGATCTTCCACCCTAAACGCCAAGAGGCAGAAGGAGAGATCAGAGCAGAGACCACCCTCATAAAGATCCCGCCCACCTGTCCATTACCACAGCAGAAAAGTCCACACGCCCACCTTCACCAGAGCAGGCCAGAGCCAAGGCTGATAATGGTCACTCACTGTAAGCGCCCCCCCCCCAGTTCTACCCTGTGTATTCGCAGTATGTATTTGACCACATGAGTCGTGTTGATCAGCACATCAGGCAGGGCTTCCCCTCCAAGCCATGCATGCCTCACAGAGACAGAAGACACTCCCACGGGGAAAAGTTCCCACACAGCTCAGTGTATGTGTGGGAGACAAAAGGCCTGAAGTATACACTGTCCTCATGCCCCCCCCCCCCGGCACTGGGAAAGCGGAAATTAAGTCTTCCCCACTGTATTATTTTCCTGATCTGAAATGGGTTTGGAGTTACCGATGTCCACAAATAAGTTTCCTCAACAATGCAGATAGTCTCTTCAGGACTGTTTCAGGTCAGGAAAATGGCGTGGAGGTGTGGGGTTATCTCCCAACCCATGGGGCAAATCAGAGGGTACCAGCACACCCTGCCCGTGAGTCCTGCCGTTTCTTTTTTCAAAAACACACGGAAAGGAGTTTTGCTCTCCCCCGGTTACGTACCGTTCACCACAGGTGCTGCAGGGGGTTTCTTGGTGACCAAACGGGCCGTGGCATTGTTGACCTGGGTTGGAAAGAGAAAGGAAGATGAAGATACATGTCGGACTGGACCCGGTGAGCCAGTTTGAGTCTGTGACTTACAGCTGCTTGAGAGTGCCACCTACTGGCTCAGCACAGCCAATTGGAGTGAAAGTACAATCCAGAATAAAAGCGGCCCCTCATGATTGCCCCCAGTACTTCCTGATCTCTGACCTCTGGAGATCAGTTATAATTCCGGGAGATCTGCAGGCCCAACCTGGAGGTTGTCAACTGTATGACTGCCAATATCCTGCACATGCACACACACACACGAGAATCCAAGGAAAGTCTAACCTCGATCTTCCTCCCTTCCACAATGCTGCTATTCAGCTTCTCCCGTGCCTGGTCGGCATCCTGGCTGTTTTCAAAAGTGACAAAGCCGAAGCCCTAAAGAGAGCAGACGTGGGTTAGGCTGGAAGCAAGGGAAGCATGGTGCTATTGACTTAAAAATATTTACAGGCATGCCTTTCTCTGCAACAAATGGGAGCCAGGGAGGGTACCAGAACGAAAACCGTTTAAAAACCAATCAGAACACTGAAACCACCAACCAACCTTACAAGCAAGCCCCCCCTCCCCATTGTCCTGCAGTCACGTGACAAGGGTTGCCAGCCCACCCAACCACCGGCCACATGTGGGCTTTGGGGCAATGTTCCCTCTAATTGTTTCCCCCCTACTGAGTGGAGCACTTCACATCCGGAGCAGAACAGAACTGCTGTAACCTTAACGTGGGCAATGGGCAGTGCAAGACCCTGCGCGGCTCAACTGCTGCTGAGCGGGCCCTTCTTGTGTTCATGAGTAGCTGCTCACACACACACATCTTAGAGGGATCACTGCTGTGGGGGGGGTAGGGTTGCCAGCTCCAGGTGGGGAAACTCCTGGAGATTTGGGAGTGGACCCTGGGGAGGACGAGGACCTCAGTGGGGTACAATGCCCCAGAGTTCACTCTCCAAAGCATCCATTTTCTCAAAGGGAACTGGTCTCTGCAGTCTGGAGACGAGCTGTAATTCCAGGGGGATCCCCAGGTCCCACCTGGAGGCTGGCATCCCTACATGCAACCCTTCTCAAGGTTCTGATTTACAGTTCTTGCAGGAGACTGTTCTACAGGGCTGGAGTGGCTACCAAAAAGTCCAAAAGTGGTCTGAAAGTGGACAGCGGTGGACCCAACTTGCACGTCGGGTAGAATAAACAATGAACACTGCTCTGCCAAGCGCAGCTACTGCCTAGGCTCACACCAGGAGAAATGCCCCCTCAAGTCATTCTGCAGTCCTGCTTTCAACACTGAATACCTTTGAACTGAGCTGCCTGGGACTGCGTATTTATAATATTCTAACTGGGTTAGAGTGTTGGCAGCTCTTCAAAACCTCTTCCCAATGCTTTCATAAATAAGGCTGCAGAGAGACATGCGCCCCAAATTCTGCGAATGTGTGTTTTAATTTCCGCTTCAAATATATTTGAAAGGTTTCCTGTATTGGTCTTCCACCAGCTGTGGAAATGGGCAAAGCCCACCCCCCTGGTCCCTCACGACTAGAAATCCCATTCAGCTTGCCCTCGCGGCTTCCGAGGTTCCTCCAGGCGCCGTTCATTCCCAAACCCATCTGTATAGATTCTGCCCCCCCAGGCCAGTCCAGGGATGGAGGGGAAAGAACTCTACACTGGCACAATACATTACACAACAACCCAGAGAGGTAAGCTCTCTGAATTTCAAGACAATAGCCACCAGGAATCTCTAAACTTACTCCCTCACCAGCCTGAGATTAGAGATTCTAGAATCTCAGTTGGCATCTGGGACTTAATACATATTTCTATACACCATCTTCTCAGCCGTAAAGGCTAGGAACTTCCCTGGTCTTTTTTAAAAGATCATCTTAAGTTGACAGGATGCTGAATCTGGTACTTGATAGCTAGGAATATCTTGGGACATGTTGCAACTCACAAAATCCACACGCCATGTGCTTCAAGAGATGTGCGCCCCAGAATCCCGTGTAATATCACAGACGACACTGGGACACTGCTTCAGAGGCATCCCTGATGAGCTTTGTCATCTCAAGGGCCTACAACTGGCACCAGGTCCCACATGGCCACAACCAGATCACAGGAGCACACAGCCCGGTTAGGGAAGCCCCCCACCCTCTTTCCCCACCTTCTCGGCCGCTCCTTACCTTAGAGCCACGCTCGTTGAAGATGATCTCCACATCCAGGATCTTCCCAAATTGCTAGAAAAGAGAGAGGAGAGGTTTGGTCATTTACTCAAGCGACAAACATCCCTGCCTTCCAGGCCCTGTGGGATTGCATGAGATCCCACAGGGCCCTGGTGGCATTTGGCAGAGAGCTCCACCAGGTTGGGGCCAGGACCGAGAAGGCCCTGGATCACCAGCAGATTGCTATCAGTAGACCGCAAAGCTCTCCCAGGGATATACCGGAGGAGACGGATAAAAGGAAGTACTTCTTTCCCCAAAGAGTGATTAACACATGGAATTCACTGCCACAGGAAGTGGTGGCGGCTACAAGCATGGACGGCTTCAAAAGGGAATTAGATAAGCATATGGAGCAGAGGTCCATCAGTGGCTATGAGCCACAAGGGATAGATAGGGACTCTGGGGCAAGTGATGCTCTGTCATCTTGGTGCTTGGGGGGGGGGCAACAGTGGGAGGGCTTCTAATGTCCTGGCCCCACTGGTGGACCTCCTGATGGCACCTGGTATTTCTGGCCACTGTGTGACACAGAGTGTTGGACTGGATGGGTCTTTGGCCTGATCCAACATTGGCGTCTCTTATGTTCTTATGAGACAGTCCCGTAGACTTTCACACCTTATGATATTTGCACCCACCACCATTTCCCAAAGTGTACTCATCCTCAAGTGGCCAACAGTAAAGCACCTTGGGCCCATTTACAAGCCCCCCTCATGGAAACATGGCACCTGCCACCCACGTCCTTGTGCCAGGCTTCCTGAGCCAGCAATCTGCTCCAGATCACGGACTGTTTGTACCACTGGAGAGAGCACAGCAGTGGCCGTTTCCCCACAGGGAGGATTCTCTGCATTGCTTCTATGGCCAGGGTGTTGCCTTTTACTTGCTTTCTGCACATCAGACATCACTTCCTTCTCCCCATAACTCCCCCCCCCAAAAAAAAACACTTCAGGGGCATCTATTGCTCACCCCGAACATCTGCCGCAGGTCCGGATCGCGGAAACGGAAGGGGATGTTGGAGACGTGGAGGCGTTTGGGTTGGGATTTGTTCTCTCCGCTCTCGGCATCCTCCGCCTCAGGGGAGAGCTCCGGCACGGGGACTTCTTCTGGCTGCTGGGGAAATGGTGGAGGGAAAACAAAGCAGGATCAAACCACACACACACCACTGAGGCCACCACCCCTGCGCATCCCTACAGAAAGGGCACACGGTAGAACGGTTATAGAGTGCTTGGGCCTGGGACGTTGGCACTTGAGTCCCTATTCAGCCACGAGCATAAAATAGACCCAGATTAGGGGATTCTCCAAAGTGAGTATCATCCAGTTCATGCTCTGGGAGGTCTTGGAGGAAGATATGGACACTCACGGCAGGCGGCTGCCAACCGAAAGGGCCCAAATGCACCCAGGTGGAGAGGAGACCCATTACTATAGGGAGGTCATTTTTCAGCAGCACCCCAATAGCAACTGGACCCCCTCTGCTGGCCATGAGCCAGAGGCCTCGTCTATACAGGCAGTGGAACACGGTGATGGAATGGTCAGGGAGTGGAATGGACTGTACCACTTCAGATGGCAGGCGGGGGAGGGAAATCAGACTGGAAGAGTAAGCAGGAAACAGAGAGCTGGGTTGGGGCAAGGGGAACCCTGGATCAAGGCCATGGTCAACCTTAGAAAAGAGCAAGAGTCCAGAAGCACCTTAGAGACCAGAGGTCATTTCGGGGGGGAACGCGGGGGAACACAGTTCCCCCAGGTGAGGTGCAGGGGGCGGGGCACATGACGAAGCCCCGCCCCCTGCTTCCTGCCGCCCCACTTCCAGCCCTCATTCAGCCAGGAGGAGGCAGGAGAAGAGGGAGGGTAAGTTGCTTCCTCTCCGCCTCTCCCCACCCATGCCTGCCTGGGGCCAGGGAGGGCCTTCGCGGGGCTTCCTTGCACTCCCGCCGGCCTTGCAGGTCCACCGCCGGGCCCCTGATGTCAGGGGGTGTGGCATATGCTAATGAGTTATGCTAATGAGTTCCCCTAGCTCTTTTTCTACGAAACGACCCCTGTTAAAGACTAACAAAATTTGTGGCAGGGTAGGAGCTTTTGTGAGTCACTGCTCACCTCTTCAGCTATTTCTTATTATTCTTCTCTGAAGAAGTGAGCCGTGACTCACGAAAGCTTGTACCCCGGCCACAAATTTTGTTAGTCTTTAAGGTGCTACTGGGCTCTTGCTCTTTTCTATTGCCACAGACAGACCAACACGGCTACCCATCTTGACCTTGTTCAACCTTGTACTGTTTGCTGGGTGTCTTTGGGAGGAGGTTGTATGTTACAAAAGGCATAAGAATCAGAGAAGTGGGATCAATGTATGGGTTGGATCCAATGTTCCCTCTAAGCTGAGTTAGTGTGAGCTAGCTCACACTAACTCAGCTTAGAGGGAACACTGGTTGGATCCAACCAGTGTTCCCTCTAAGCTGAGTTAGTGTGAGCTAGCTCACACTAACTCAGCTTAGAGGGAACACTGGTTGGATCCAACCAGTGTTCCCTCTAAGCTGAGTTAGTGTGAGCTAGCTCACACTAACTCAGCTTAGAGGGAACACTGGTTGGATCCAACCAGATTTTCTGCTGGTGCAAAAGGGAAGAGGGGTTCCCTTTGACACACACACCCCCAAAAAAAGGCTGTGATCAACACAACATGAGACCTGCATGGACAAAGGCCACAGGGAACGGAGGCTGCAGTACGGAGGAGAACTGGGTGAGATGGAATGAAAAAGCTGTCTGGACCCAACTGAGTGTTCAGCTCAACCTCTCTGCATGGTAACCTGCCTACACGGCCATTTCTTTTTCTAAATACCAAGATGGATTTGCAGGCCCCAGGTTTTCACATAGGTCCATGCAACGGTTGCACGATAATTGGACATCAGAAGCAGTTGTTGCCCCTTGGATCTTTTGCTTGCAGCCTTGACAACATGGGAACAGGGGGAAATAATACTTGCTACCGGAATAGCCTGTCAGATTTAACCCACTCTTATCTAGCAAATTTCAATTTGCCTAAGGGGGCGGGGACAAAGTCACCCTGATATATCATGGGGGATGCCTTGTGCAGACAACCAATGTTCCCACTAAGCTGTGGAATCTTGAGAGCAAAAATTCTACTCCGTGAGCTACTGGCATGAAATTTGTGAGCAAGCAATTTGGCTACTGCATAACTTAGTTGGCTCTAGAGTCATCCTTCCTGAGCAAAGACAAAAAACTGTGAGCTGGAGGCTGAAAAACTGTGAGCTAGCTCACACTAACTCAGCTTAGAGGGAACACTGCAGACAACTACCCCTTCCATTCAGTTACAGAGTTGAGCCATGAAGTTTCTGACCCTATTGGGGCAAACCACAAAAACCAAATTCTTCCAAAGGGTTGCCATTCCCCTGGTGGCACTGGGGAAAACCTCAATTTTTGAGGCTTCAGACAACCGCCAGTCAGCTGACCTGCAGGGGAAAGCCCCACCCCCAAATAGGGACACTGCCATGTGACGTCCCCGATGCGATGACGTCACCCGGAAGTGATGTCATCACATGGGGGATGTTGTGTGGGGGATGCTCTGTTATTTCAGCAACTCTATGGTTTTGAGGCCAAAAACCCGTAGAGTTTGCCCAAATACCAGAGTGTCCCCCATGCAACATCCCCAACACAATGATGTCATCTCTGGGTGATGTCATCACATCAGGGACATTGTGTGATGTCCCTGCCCACTCCCAGAACAGCCCCCCCCCAAGTCCCCTGCTCCAGCCAACATAAGACCTGACAACCCTATTCTTTCAGGAAGCAAGGACAGTAGAGAAAACCACAGCCCAGAGCAACCAAGGCCCAATGGCCTTCCTGAAGTTATCCTTACACAAAGGGGCACCGTAGTATTCACTCTGTTGCTCCTGCAGAGGCATATGCACAATTACCCTCAACCGAAATAACCATAATTTACCTCCATCCCTGGCATGACGCTTGGATCTCATTCCTCCTGCGATGGTCATTTCAAAGTGGGAACCAACTACCAATCACAAGCCCCTCCAATTAAGGGCCGTGCTCACTTTCCTTAAGGGCAGGCGCCATATTGGGGAATGGTACTCAGAAGAGCCACAGGTGGTGCACCCAAGAGCCACATGTGGTTCTCGAGCCACTGAGCTAAAGCTTTCCCGGATGATGTCTCTGCACGATGGGCAGATAAGCAACCAGGCTTGTTTCCTCAACTGAGGAGAAGGCTCAGAAGAGAGAAGACCCGAGAATAAGCCGCTTCTTTGTTTCCACCAAGACCCATTACCAAATTCACATCAGCTGCCTCGTTGAGGAAGATCCAGTCTTTCTTCTTCCCCACTTTTTCCTCAGCCAAAGGGAACAGACCAGCAGACATTTTGTCTTGCGTTAATAAATTGGACAGACACACACTGCCACGCACAACAACATTAGTGGAGACAAGCAGGACACGAGCTGTGGGTGGGCAACTTCTGGGAACGCTGTGAAGAAGATCAGAGACCAGGAGGCAAAACGCATCACCCCCACCCCAGGGGGCACCTCGCCCCCCCCTCCATGCAGATGGCCCAAGTCGACTCACAATGCAAGCACCAAGATGCAATGTTCCAAGGGCACAGCGAGGTGCGGTTGGCCTCTCTTGCAGTGTCTGAAGTGCTAGAGGGGGAGGGACAATGAATAACCTGGGGAGCAATTAATCCAGCAAGGCCGGGGAGCGGGGCAAGTTGAACTTGTCTTTGAAATCCCTACAACAGCCTATCAAGAAGGAGCCGGAAGATGTGTGCGATTAGATATGGGAAAGAACAGTGGACAACGGGAAGGAACAGAGTGGCTGGTGTGTGTCTGGGGTTGTTCAATTCCAGCCTGGGAAATTCCTGGAGATTTGGGGGTGGATCCCAGGTCATGCAGAGTTTGGAGAGGGGTTTCACCTATAATCTCCATACAATAGAGTCTTCCCTCAGAGGCAGCTATTTTCTCCAGTGGAATAGTCTCCACAGTCTGGAGACCAGTTATAATTCCAGGTGAACCCCAGGCCCCACCAGGAGGCTGGCAACTGCACCAATGCCATACGGTCAGATGGTTTCACTGCACCGATGCCATACGATCGGTGGAAGCTCACCACTTCAGAGGACGAGCAGGCAGGGACTGTGGCTCAGTGGCAGAACATCTCCCTGGCATGCAGAAGGTCCCAGGTTCACTTCCAGTCAGAAGAATCAGATAGTAGGCCATGTGCAAGACCTCTGCCCGAGACCCTGGAGAGCCACCGCCAGTCAGAGTAGCCAACAGACTGTCGGTGGCAGTCTATAGCAGCTTCATGTGCGGCCAAACTCTCACACATAGGTAAACCCATGACTAGGCCATAGTACTACATATTACTGGAGGGAGGGTGGGCTCACGTGATAGAATGTTTCCTTTTTTAACTGCCCCCCCCCAAAATATATTGCCCATAGAAATGTGGCGTGTAAGGGAACAAGTCCAGCTACAGCCTTTCCCTAGGATACTTTAGGGCCTCTTCATCCATTATAGACAGATTGGGTTAGCGCCCCATCCCGTCTCCAATGTAACACAACCGCGCAGGAGTCGTGGGTGCCCAATTCTGATCCAGACTGAGCTGCATGTGGAGAGGGGGCTTCAGCCTCCCCCCCCACACACACACACCATTTTCCCAACCTGATACAGTCCCAGAGACATGCTTGGGTTTCCACAACATCACCCCTCTGGGGCCGTTTCAGGATCTAGGACAGTCGACGCCCTCTGGGCGAGCAAGCATCGAGGCATAGGCTTGAAGGCTGTGCAAGGAGCCGTGCCGACTGCAAGGAGCCTTGAAATGTTGCCATTAACACAACACGCAATTCCAGCCACTCACAAGTGCAAACACACCACCAGGCAGATCCCCCCTCACCTTTGCACCCCCCCTTCTCCCATTGCACCTCCCCATAATATGCCACAACCCCCCGCCCCAATCCCTTCAAACCCGGGATGCATCACTTGAGTGCTACATACTCTCGGCTCATCAAGACAAGTTCAACAGAGATTAAACTCCCCCCACCGGGAAGGACCAAATGCACGGGGCGGTGGGTGGGAGGTGGTATCAGGCTGAGAAGACAGGCAGGTGCAGTTGC